ATTATTTCTTTTAGCCAAAATTGTTATTGAAAACCCATCAAAAAACTTTCTCCTGACATAATACTTTTTATAAGATGAACCTAAGCTGTGAAACGTTCGATAATATGGTTTTAATTAATAATTCGATAAATTAAAGCGAATTACAATCTAATTACGACTTATATCAAGTAATCAATAATTAAACTCTATCTCGTAAATCGTATTTAAACTCTAAATAATAATAATAATGTGCATGTATAATATTATATCGTTCACATCGGACGATTCAACGTTTTATCCGTGGACACGAATTCCTGTAAACTATAATTACATTTTCATTTTATCATGGATTAAAAGGATTTACCAGAGATTTGATTGTATACATAAATATACCTAATAGAAACGAGAAATATAAAAAGGGTGTAAATTTTGTCATTTAGTAAATCTTTTTCTTTTTTTTTTTTTTGGAAACGGAAAAACAACCAATAGTACTTAATTTATAAAACACTTTTCATTCCATACAATACTCAACAGTAAACTCTGCCGGTTTTAACTCAACAAATCTTAAAAGCATTTCCTCGCCTACTAAAACCTTTACTAGCTATTCTTAATATAATAATTCAAAACTGCTCTTTATATCTCACTATTAAACATGACCCAGTTACAGCTGTAATGACATTTAACGTTTTACTTGGATATAACGTGATTCTTCATTGTTGTCAAGAAGTAATTCGTTTCTCATTTTTTCTATTACCTTTTTGAGTTTATGTTTTCAAAGAACAGATTAAAATATAATAGTGTTTTATTTATAATTTACATAAGGTACATAACGAGTTTCGAATCATTTAAGCGAAACACCATTTGCGATAAATTTGTCAAACAAATCAAAAAATAATTAAACTGTATTTACATGTCAAACTCTCGTTAACTAAACCTGATCTAATAATAGTATGACTTTATTATGCGAGATCAGRYTGTCGATATTTAAATTGAATGTGCATCATAACTAGAACACGGACGTCTTTGGAAATGTGAAAATATAATATGAACAAGCATTGATATCGAAATTTATAGATAATTTTTCTGGCAACAATATTTAATCAAATTCATCGCAAAGTCTTAAAAGATGAAAACCTGAAAATTATCGACAAAAACGTCACCAAAGATTCTCGAAGAAAACGCCGTGACTTATATGCACGTTGCCGGGGTGAGCAGCAGTTGGAAGTCCATTTGGCACATAATTGCCTCGTAAACGGAGGTAATAGAGCATAATCGACCAGAGACAGACATATACGCTGCCGAGTAATGATGCGCACAAAAACTTTGCACAGAGGAGACAATGTTTTTTCCAAAAAGATATATTTAATGGTGGTTTCGTCTTCGTTTGGTTTGTCTTTGACGTTATTTCTTTCTTTTTCTCTATCTCTCTCTCGCTCTGCGGACTGCAAAATATATTGTATTCACCTATATCGACGATGCTGTGCGTCGAACAAAAAAATAAAAACGAAAACAATGAAAATATAATAAATTCGTATAGGTATGCAAAATTAACAACCTGTGATGGCTGGTATATATTATAATATGTAGTCGCGTAATATTACTGAGTTTGCAGACTCACGGACGGCTATTACACGGATTCGTAATCGCTCGTGCATCTTCTGGAGTTATATTCTCTTTGTCATCGTAAGCGCCTGCATCATCACCGGGACCATCATGAGCGGATTATTGTCCTGGAAAACGGTATGGAGTGTACGTACATACACACTCACGTCGCAGGACGCTCCGCGCCACCTGCGAAATTAGATAATGTCATTTCCAGGAGGAGCCGAAGAGAAAACGCAACAATATCGAAAGACGTTAGCGTCAGAATATTAAATTACGCTTTCCGTTCCACCGCTCACTCACTCAATCTCTATCTCTCTCTCTATCCCTTTCTTTTATCTCTCCATTTCTCTCTATATTCTTGTGCGCCCGTCCATCTCTCTCTCTTTTACCGTCTTAAGCTTTCTATAAGGCGATGTTTTCTAATGAAAAGAATATCGTCTTAACGCTGTGGAAACAAACAAGAAGATATAGACGAAAGCGCGTAGAAAAAATCCACTGAAAAAAAAATGTTCGCCGTACTCCGACTTATATGAAAAAACAAAAAAAACTCTTCCATAGCTCGAACATGCGTAGTTTCACCATAACAATACATGTAATATATGATATATAAAATTGATTTAAATAACTTCGCTTCAACAGTCCAAAAGTTTTGTGTCATTTTTGATTTATTAAAATTACTTCAGATATACAGTAGCTTTGACCAAAACAAAAAATATGAATATTATTATATAGAAGAATCAACAAAAGTATAATAAAATGCAGTATAATAGTTCAAAAATACCTCTAACATGACATTTCTTCCTTACAATAATGACGGTTCTTGTATTATAGTTTCAGTTTCAGTTTAATATTACCCATACTGTTTACGCATGCACATATATCAATTAKTTCTACACTTGTACACGTCATGTATCATTATTCTAAGTTCTGAGCGCTGAGGGTTATAATTAAATAGGTTCCTATATTATTATTGTTGAACACTAGCTGCATYTGTAATGCACGCATGCGTAATATAACTTTCACTTCATACTTTTGTACTTTGTTCAGGTATTATAACGCATTTTTTTTGAGAAAAACGTTTAAATAAAATAATGGTGTCGGTTATTGAAATTCAAACACTACGAACAAATTTAAAATGAAGCTAATTCGATGTACAGAAAAACGTGAATGTGCAGTATACATATTATACAATGAAAGGACGTTTTGACAATAATTCATATAATACATTATCTGATTCTTCAACTTAATCGAGGTCTAATGTGGATGTATTAATTCTCATAGAATTAATTGTTTAAATTTTAAACAATTAATTCTAAAAAAATACAAAACATATACATTAATTCAAATCGATGCTGAATCAGAAGCTTCAGTATTTTGAATAATTTTAGCGTTAAAATAATATGTACTATTGAAGTGATGATCTTTTCTTTTATTTGTATTGCCACCAAATGCCACTAATTTAAAAATAAACGTGATTTTAACTAACGTATAATACCTCCGCAGTTCAAAACCTTTACTCATTAAACCTATAAAAGTATATAAAATAAAGTATATTATATGTTACAGTAATTTGTGCCGCTTATACGTATCGCCGATACGCGTTAATAAATGTGTGTGTGTGTGTGTGTGTGTGTACAGTGTCGTACGGTGTTGTATACTTGTATGTATGTATGCCCCCAGTACGCGCGGTATCAAGTTTTCCTCTGATTTATATCTAAAAGTTCAATCTACCGTAGTCATCCCTCGTCGCGGAAAAAAGGGTAGTTGTGCTTCTCCTCGGCGTAGAAGACCACGACTGCGTGCGGCACGGGTCTCGTTGTAGTCGTCGTCATCGTCATCGTCGTTGTCGTCGTCCCCGTCCCCGCATCCCCGTCTCAGGGTTCGCAGACAATGGAGAAATAACGTGGCGTTCGGAGGTAATAAGTTCAAATTACTTCCGAGCCGAGTGTCACGAAATGAAACCGAAGTTCGACGTCGTGGCGGTCCCGCTGTCCACCCCCCAATACCCCGCTCTCACGCACGTCCATGCAACTAGCTGGCTCACTCGCTCGTTCTCTCTTTCTCTTACACACTTTCTCTCTCTCCGTCTCACTCTCGCGCAACTGCACGCCCGGTTGCGTTTTGTCATTCGATCTCGGTCAAACGACGACTTTTCGAGACTCTCAATCTGGAGGAGGAAACCCGTATCGGGGCGCGTCGGTCGGTTAGGGATTTTGAAGTACGTGAGTCAAGTCAAGCGCCGCATGAGTGTACACACTTGTAAGCCAAAAGATGAGTACCACATATTGTATTATGTATATACTCGGCGATGAGGGAAATGACGATAACTTTATATATGTAGGTATCTGTATAAGTAGATAACTACGCACGCACATATATATATATATATATATATATATATTACATCGTATGTTATATTCTTTCGTATACCTATGTGACAGAACAATTCAACTGCTTCGCAAAAGTAAAATTCCCATTCTAGAGTTTTAATTAGGTAGCGTAGTTGGTCATATGGCAACACTTTTGGGTTGAGGATGACTGAATAATGAATTTTGACAATGCCAATAATAATATAGTCTAGTATTATTATTACCTATAGATAACGACGATATGCAAGAATTTCCCTCGAGTTGAAAATTATTCATGATAATAATATATATACGCACACGTCATGGTATATATAAAACAAATTATTACGATATGCACTTAACGCGACATATATACATATATATATATATATATATATATTATATTGATATATTGATATGAATTCTTTAATCGTCGTCGTTTTCGTTTACTCGAATTTAACGATTCTCGTATAAATTTATGACGACTTCCGGTACGAAGTGAGGTAAAATAGGTAAAATGTATTTTTAACAAATTATTTTAGGCGCATTTATTTGAATTTCATCTTACAATAATTTCGTTTTGTATTTTTGTCACTCATTATCATCTGCAACCTGCAAAATAATATAACGTCTCAGAATAATGATGTTGTGCTTTTCGTATGACAATAATATATTGTATTATCGTTGAATACGATTACCGATGAATTAACATATTTTATTTAAATCAGACGGTTTTTGTCGATAAAAAATAAAACATTGTTGACTTTTGATAAAAATGAAAATATATGTATATCATACAAAAAAATGAATATATACTTGTTTCAAATGCAATATAACTAAAACCAATAAACTATACTATTGTTAGTTTACGATGAGCACACAATATGTTATTCCAGTATTATAATATATACCAACGTTGTCGTATAAACGACGAGAAAATTACATTATAAGCTTATTTACTATTTATCTAAATAAAAATCTGCCCCAGCTTTTATGCGATTGGTTGCCTCAGAAATAATAATAAAATAATTGATCATGTTTTATATACATATATTTTTTATTCAATAGAGTGGCCAATCGGAAACGCGAAATGCGGCAGACAGCGAAGACAGTTTTACTAAACAGCARTTTGATATTATTCAACAGATTATGCATCACACCCAACAGCAAATAGCGACGTCAAATGTATCGAAAAATTCGAATCTGAAGAATTCGTCCAACGCAAAAAATTGGAACAGTCAACAGGTAAGGAAAAAAATTATGTGTTACATCTTTATTATTCKTGAAAAACTTACGATAATTTAGTCGAAGACAATTTCAATAATGTATTGACRGTATAGGTACATGCAGGTATATTATTATAAGTTTGTTTGATATTATATTATAGTAAATAGTAATTTAATTCATTGCTTGCCGGGTTGTGGCGTTTTTAAATGTGACCATTATACTAATGAAATAGGCACATATATATATATAGATACGCAAACACAATACGCGCTTTATTATTAATGAAAATATCGATTTTTCTTGTTATGCGAAGATCTTTATTATACTTTGAATATGAAGCGACATCTTCATAATATCTTTGTTTGGTTTTTTCATACCTCTTTTGCGCCCGCTCACACGTCGGTGGACAAAAAACAAAAAATATTATCATTGTTCTACCCGTGTCTAACCTTTTTTTCGTMGACAAAACCGTTTCGAATTTTCTCGCTTTTTAAAAAGTGCGTACGTATATATAGGTAGGTACTCCGTGCAGAAGAAAATGGGGTGATTTCAGTTTTGCTTTATTTTGTCACGCGGAAAATGACATAAAATCCGAAATAGTCGTCATGTGTGTATACATATCATTATACATACGCACCTACAACACATGTGTAGTAGGTGTTTTCGTGTGTACTATGCGAAAAAGTATATAGTACGATCGTCTCGAAARAAAACAATTTCACCAATCTCATGGTGACAAACACATAAGGACTGAATTTACATAACAATTGCCCTTTTTTATTATCATTTTTTTTTTTTGCATTCTTGGCGATCACCCTTCACCTCACCGCCCGCAGTCGTGGCAATATTGCGAACGAAATATTTGATATGAGAGATGACGTGACGAGAACAAACCTGATTCGTTTCGATTACCTCCGAAAATAGAAAATGCTGGATGCCGATAAATTAGTCTTCTGTGACGTACGAATATAGCATACGCATATAGTACGTAACGTGCAGGGTTGTTTTTCGTAGAATTTCCGACCACAAAACTATTGCGGAAAATTAAAATAATAATATTGAGTTTCGCGATGATATGTAGATACCTGCACGAAGTTTTTCAGATTATACAACTGCAGTTACGTGGCCGTAACCGTAGTAGAAGGTATAAAACATTTCGACCGGATTACAGCCATGATAACCCGCAGCTGCCTTTAATTATAATTTAGTTCAGTTGAACAGTTTTTAAATCGTAATTATTACCTACCTACCTTTGTTTAATAGACGACGTGTGTACATGTGTACAATATATTATAACATCGTATTATTACATACTATCTGCGTACTCGAAATGCGTTTTAATTATTATCACATCCATTAAATATTGATCCATTCATAATATTATAATATATAGTCGGCACTCGCCACGTCTCGAAAGTGCTCCGTGCAGTTCATATCTCGYGCATACGAGATAATTACGGTTAATGTACAATAGGTCCAACAGGGATTATTACTGCGTTTTCAATAGATCGTTATTGTTCGTTACCGAGATTAATATATAGATACAATTCGAAATAATAGTTTTTGTTTTCGACGCCATTGTTTCAGCGCGGTGTTTTTGAAAACGGCGAGCGCCGCATATATTATTATTATTATCATTATTATTATACTACAGTTATATGGCGCACAATAAAATATAAGTTACGATTCAACTTGGCGCCATAAATTTGCCAAAAACTTACTTTTGGTATATACCTCGAAATCGGGATGCCCGAATTAATGTTATGATATGATTATCTGCGGCTGTGGCCGGGTGTATACAGGAGGTATATAGTGTGTGTTGCATTTGATGCGTAGTTTATATTTTATATCCGGGAACGGGCCAATAGACCGTCTTCTTCCGATTAACGTCCGTAGAACGAGATAAACATCGTCATTATRTTCGCCTTTTAACCGCTGGCGACGACGTACCTATAATAAATAATATAATGGCAGCATAACCGCCGAAAATGCAATACTCCGCAAAATAACGCATTTATTTCCTTTTTATATTTTCCGTTCCTCGCAGTCGCTCACCCATCACCCACCGCACACTCATCACACTCGGGCTCAGTTTTGCGTCGAAAAGCGACACCATCATTGCAACCACCCGGCGMGGCGTGTGCACCGATTTCGCATGTAAAGAAGTAAATATCGTTGTTATGGACCTTTGCAGTGGTATTAGGTTCGGTTAGCMCCCCCCCCCCCCTTCAAAAAACCCACGTCATCGTTTGCATTTTGTTATATATTTTATGCGTCATTTTATTTTTTGTTTGTTTGTTGTTTTTTTTTTTTTTTGCTCTACTTCTTCCGAGGAAGGAGAGGTGTTTTTTCTATTTCCCCCACCTCCCCGTTTATCAACGGTCGGGTCGTCGTCGTCGTTAAGAGCGCGGGGGAACGAAATTTATGTGCGACCCTTCTCGAGCTTTTCCGCGTGCTAATGTCCTACCCCTATGAGGCGCGTCGCGACGTGTGCGCTCCTCAAAACGATACCTGAACATGAGACGGGGCCATTTCCTATGCAAAGTATAATTTATCATCCTGCCGACGTTGTCGTGAAATTGCAGAAAAAGTGTTTTTACCTTTTTTTCAGCCCCTATGTCCCATTATTTCGGTCCAAYGGCCTAGTCGCCGTATACGCATATTATTATATATACACAATAGCCATATACACCCAGCGCATGTGACAGTGTATGCGACTCAACGACATTGTGTCGTGGCCTGTGCGCATTATATTATATACACTCGACCGCGATGCATGCCTTCAATCTACATGGTAATAATGTCCACAGAATAATGATGCACCAACCGTTAATTATAGGCGAGCGGTGTTAGTTTCGGAACGACTGGCAAAGATGATATAATATTATTATGACGTGTTGAGTTAGATGAGAAAAAATAAAATGAGAGCCCCCTACGGCTACAGCCGAAACCCAATTAGTGTTGGGGGGTGGATACTAAGCTCCCTCCTGTTAAACCACTCGAAAGTTTTATTTTTTTGTATTTATGTTGATATACCAATTCTATATTGTTCTAAACAAATATATTTTGAAAAATTCCCCTTCCGAACTTTCTGACATAGAGCCGCGTACACGTTTATGCGACCGTTAGGTTACCTATTATACTTATGATAATATTATATACATCGAATAAYGCACCGCTAATTTAGCGATAGTGCATCAGCCCACGGTGGAGGTTGCCGTAGAACTGACCGACAACAACAAAGATAATAATATAGTATWATTATTTTGCGTCAGGTTATGATTAGATGAAAGAATATTATATGAGTTCCCGAGTAGTACTAACAGCAGTAAGGAGTAATATGTAACTGCAGCCAAAGCTCAGTCCGCAATATTAGGGATGGTAGATTTGAGGGACGACTAAGCCCCACCATAGATTTTATTGATTTATAAAAAACAATTCATTGTATTTTTTATGATAATATTGAGTATTATACTGTTGTACACAAATATTGTACCTGCTATATGTACTTGTAATTAGTGCAACAATGCGTAGAATTAAAACTTCGTTATATCTTATATACGTACTTCAAGGTTACAAATTTGAGAATCAAATTTGTAAATTTTAAGAACATAATAAGATATTACRAATAATATTAACTCTGAAGAAATAATCGACACTTTTGAAAATATTAAAATAAAACAATAGTTTTAGAAATCAATAATATAATTGATATGAAACTGGCCAAATACAAATTGTGTTACTAAGAATTTGAAATTTTATGAATAATATTAATATTATTAATCACACAAATTCGACATGTTTAAAACATTGACCTGCGGCAAGCATAATAATATAAAGCAGTTCTTAATAATCTTTAGCCCTCCAAAGTGGATTTYACGCTACCGCTCCCCAAAAATTTTGGACCTTAGTTGTGCCATTATTTTACATAATTAATTTGAATTCCGCACGAACTCCTCTCGAAGCTTTACTCGTGTACAACCGAAAGTGGCAGCATACGTACAACCTGTAAACCAGCGCCGAGTTCGTATAATATATCCCCTAATCTATTTATTTTTTTGTACTTTTCAAAACTAAAACAGATTTTAATCAAAAAACGGAAATATCTGCAGATCCATGATGTAAAAAAATTGTTGTATCCGTTGGGAATAAACAAACGTAATATAGTCTTTGGTCGTGACAACGCAGGGTCGCGATTTATAAATATATATTCGAAGGCCCACCGGTATAAAATCTCGATTTTTCGCCGATGGCCTTGCGGAGTGTAGTCGTTCGAGAGAGGGTACATAATTTTTGGACGGCGGCACTGGTGCAGACGTGGGTTTCATTTTATTTAGTTTTTTCTCTTTCTCTCTCTCTTACACACACACACACACACACACACGTTCTCTCTCTCTTCGGTAGACCGAAATGCCGTCCAGCTGATAGAATCCACACTATACACTAATGTCCGCACAACGCGTATATACTATTATAATAATAATATGTGCACCGCGCGACGCATTCGGGTCACGTATGGCTTAGAAAACGTACCGGAGATTTTTAACCAACATCGAGCGCCGTTTATGTGCCCTGGAAACCAAAACGGACGTACACACACGACCGTATAATATRACGCRTCCGCAAAATACGAATTTTCCGAATAAAATTACACGCGCGCGGAACACTTAAAAATAGCGCACGTACTTATTACTATTACTGTTGTATTATTGTTATTATTATTATGTGTACGMCGCTCACTCCGCTTTGTAGTTGTGCGTTGTCCTTTATACCAAGGTATAATACCTCTTCCCCGTGCAGACGACCTGCATCTATCCGCACAGTTCCCGAGAACGTATTATTACTATTATTATTATTATTGTTGCTGCGTAGGTATCTGCGTCCATGCCCGGCAGCCATGTCGTCGACAAAAGGTTCTCCTCTCAAACGTACAGGGTAATTGAATGTGAAAAAAATATTAATAAATAAAGTCCGCTGAATTGTGTCGAACGCGGGATTAAGCGGTGGGGGTGATGGCG